ATGCAGTAACCACTGATATTGGCAGTAATATGGTGAAAGCGGTGGAGCTGTTATTATTGCATGGTGATGACGAAGAAAGTGACAGTGAAAGTGAAGACAATTACGAAAGTATTGTGTGCAATGTAAGATTCGAAAATATTATTTATATTAAATGTGCTGCCCACACATTGCAGTTAGCTCTTAAAGACTTTTTAGATAACTTAAATACAAATGTAGTGAATAAGTCACGGAACTGTGTAAAATATTTGAGAACACCTGCATATCGGTAAGTTATTTCCTTAAACTTTACATGTACAAAATGTGTTTTTGTTAAATTTTTCATTCTATTCCAGACATAGTATAAAAAGTAGCCAAAACCTCAAACCAATAATGGACGTACCAACACGTTGGAGCTCCACTTATAATATGTTGAAGCGACTTCTAGATTTAAAAGAATTTTGCTCTGAACATTTGCCATTGTCCGAGCAACTCCAAACACATGAGTGGGCGGAACTAGAAAAAATTATACAGGCTCTACAACCAGTAAATACTCTGACGCTGAAACTACAAAAATTTAATTTATTGTTCGGAGATTTTTCTAAAAATTGGCTAGAGCTTATTTTTACTCTAAAAGGCTTCAATATTGATATGACCAGACAACTTCTGGATCACATCGAAATAAGGCAAACAAAGTTGCTTGAATGTGACACTATGTATGCAGCCTTGTTTTTAGACCCCAGATTTAAGCGTGTGTTCTCAAATGAGAAAATAAACTCGGCAAAAAATCATTAAAAAAATGGTGCTCCAGCTAGTAAACGTGGTGAGCTAAGACAATAAATTTAAAATAATTTATAATATATTTTTAATGTTTTTTTATTTGTATTCAAGCAAAACACTGAAACTTATTTCTAATAGATGAAAGCTCCATTGCAAGCTCTCGATCTTTATTAGCAGACGGTTTAAAGTCAATGGAGATGAATTATTCGTCTTCGGACGACGATGATATTCCTACGTCAATAAATGACAGCGTCCGTAAAGCGTATTTTGAAATAGACAATTATAAAGAAAAACGTTTGGATACTTCTGCTAATTTATTGGAATATTGGGAGAGCAAAAAATTTGCGTTTCCATGGCTTCGAAAATTAGCTTTAATTGTTCATTCTGTACCTGCCACTCAAGTCAGTGTAGAAAGGTCATTTTCGGCACTCAGATTGATATTGGGAGATTTGAGATATAATTTATCTGAGGAACATTTAGAATCAATTATGATGGTAAAATTGAACACCTGAAAACACCTCTTAACACTGACTTGAATGGCAGCCAAAACTTATAAGCCTCTCGCGGTAGTAACCATTACTTTTTAAGTTTTACGTAAGCTAAGAATTTTAGAATTTTTTCTATTTCGCCCTATTCATTTATATAGCTGATACATTATCCATAATATTTTCATAATTGTCTATATTTTAATTGTCAGTTTCTTCTTTATCACTACGCCTAAATTTGCTTCTTCTGAATACTGTTTTAATTCAAGCATTGCCACCGTGAATATATCTACGTAGTTTACTGGATCTTTGATAATGGATAGGTCGCATATATTCATATATACAAATTGGAATGATGCAGCATATTGTAATACATACGACATAAATAAATAAATAAGAATTTTGAATTGATTTTTATTATTGATATAAAAATATAAAAATCAAAAATAACTCTTATTTTTTGATATAAAAATATAAAAATCAAAAATAACTATTTTTTGATATAAAAATATAAAAATCTAAAATAACTTTTATTTTTCATCTAAAAAAATTAAAATCAAAAATAACTTATTTTTGATCTAAATATATAAAAATCAAAAATAACTTTTATTTTTGATCTAAAAATATAAAAAACAAAAATTACTCTTATTTTTGATCTAAATATATAAAAAACAAAAATAACTCTTATTTTTTGATTTTTTTTGATAAAAGTCATGAGTTACGGTCCCTGATTTTAAGACTTCCACCAAAATATCTCGCAAAAATATTAAGATTTACACGAGATGGACCGATTTGAAAATACCTCCAAAAATTTATTTTTTTTATTAATAAAAACAGTTTTTTTTAATATTTTTTGAAAAAATTACCTCAGATGACTGAACAGTTTATTCTTAAAAAGTTTTCATAAAAATATTAAAAGAAAAAAATTGTTTCTACGGAATCATAATAATGAGGTTTTTGATGCTGTTTTTGCACTTTTTTTCAAAGACTCGTTTAAGTAAAACTTGAATAACTCAGCCAAAACCTTACCAATTTGGACTAATGAGGTATCATTGGTAAGGTATTTTCCCACCCTTTTAATTTCTTTGCGAATAAGCTCATTCAAAGTATGAAAGATGAAGGTAAGATAAACGAGTATCATTCCATATTGAATTAAGATGTGTTGGTATTAAATAAAGAAAAAATTGGGACGGGAATAAGTTTTTTTTGAAAAGAAATAAAAAAGGTGAAAAAATACCTTTCCACTGATACCTATATCGGAAAAGTTTTGGAGCAGTGATTAAAGTTTTTCTTACACAAATCTTTGAAAAAAGTTAAAAAATAGCATAAAAAATCTCATTATTATGATTCCGTTGATACAATTTTAATATTTTTATGTAGATTTTTTAAGCTTAAACTGTTTTGTCATCTGAGAGGATTTTTTCCAAAAAAATCCTTTAAGAAACTATTTTTATTCATAAAAAAATCCATTTTAATAGGTATTTTGTAACGGTCCTTAAATATACTAGGTTTGGTAATCCCGCCGGAAAAACCGAAACTTTTTTTGGGGATGCAGTCTAATGTACAGTAGTCGAAAAAATTATAGCCGCACCAAATTTTCACAAGTTTTAAAATATAATTTTCGTTGTTATTTAATTTTGGTTAGTTTTTTACAGTTCATTCTCGAACAACATCCGTATAAATACAAGTTTAAAGACAGTGTCACACGATTGGGTATTTGCCAAAATTTGGTGCAAATCATATCCCAAATATTTTTCTTAATCCCAATCACGAAAATTCAGCCCTATTCTGCATTTCGACTCCAATCGAAATTTTTTCCGTTTGGCAATTTTGGTATTCTGCGTTCCGTTTCCTTTCGTCCAGTCCAGGCGTTTTTGTTTTCATCTATATATATAAATGTGAATGTCTGTTTGTTTATTACCTAATATCTTCTGAACCGCGGCACGGATCGTACGAAACTTTGCACACTTATTTGCTTTTACCCCGGGAAGGTTATAGGCATAGAGAAAAATGGGCAGTACTAGAAAAGAGGGCGTGGCGCCGCCTATACTGTCGAGATAAATAAAATTAATTCCATACTCATGGGAAACAATTTACGGTATTGGAAAAGGGGGCGTGCCTCCTCCCATAGGCGTAAATTATTTAATCAGCTCTAACTTCGGAACCGTAAGTCACATAAACTTGAAATTTGGTATGCAAACATATCTATGGTAGATGCTTATCTTAAGGTATATATAAAGCAGTTCGGAACCATAAGTTACATGAACTTGAAATTTGGTATGCAGACATATCTATGGTAGGTGCTTACAGTAAGGTAAATGAGTTTGTAAAATGGGGCGTAGCACTTAACATAGGCTTGGAACTTTCACCAGCCTTTACCCAGCAAACATTGAGGTTAGTTACGGATTAGAGAATGATTGGAGAACTAGCCACATTCTCCAATCTCAAACGTTAGAGAATGACTCGAAAAACTATTGAGAATCATAGCGATCACAACAAAAATGGCACATAGTTCTCGACTCGAGAAAATAATAATTCTCTAATCGAATTCTAATGCTGATCTCTAATGGGAGTCGAATGTGAATTTCAAACTGCTGTGTTTTGCTTTATTAAATAAAACGCGTTGTTTGTAAAACTTGTATTAAATTTATTCCCAATAAAATAGTAATAATGAATTATTTGAACTTAAACATAATATATGATTCATTAATTTGGAATATTGCTTATTTACCTAAATTTTTTTCAAAACTTTAAAACTATCATATGCTTTGTGTTTTTTGTGTTTTGTTAAGATGAATTAATTTAGATTAATTAAATTTGTTAAGATTAGATTAAAAAATATTGCTAAAAATTAATAAAATGGTTTACTTAAAGTTCATTCACATGCAGTCCTTATAAGTGTTACATTTAGCCTCGTTTCAAAAAAATAAATGGAATTCCTTAAATTTTACACCGACGCACTATAGGCGCCATGGATAATGGAATGAAAATTTCTTTATCGTGAAGACAAATGATCATATAATATAGGAAAACTATTGATAAGTTACAACAACAATAACTTAACTTAACTTGTAACTTCGCTATAGTTTTCCTATATTCTATGATCATTCATCTTCACGATAAAAAAAAATTTTCATTCCATTATCTCTTCTCTAACGGAAGATCTACGATTTTGAAAAAAACTCGTGTTTTACCTATAGTGCGGCGGGCCGATAATTAGAAACAGGCTGACTTCCAAAACGTCAATTGCTTTGCATACGTACAAAGTATAATGTTCCATAACGCCGAACTACAAAATGTTGACGATGTATACTTTTCCAAAACGCATCCGAAAATTTATCGAAACGCATCGCTAGCGCATGCAGCGCATCAGAAACAAAGTTGATGCTTCGTTTGTTATTGGTTACCATTGGTGTTTTAAAAATGGAAAATTCAGAAAAACTGTTCATTGCTATATTGAGTATTTAAAATATGCAATGTATATGATTGCAATGTGTCGCAAACTCTGCATATACAAACAGTTTGAATACCGCAGTATAACAGTTTCCAAACAATGTATTGATACGTTTTGGAAGTCAGCCACAATTTGTCTTTAAAAATTTTGACTATTTACTTTTTCTATATTTCTTTTAATTTTTTTATTACAACGAAATCCACATAACTTAAAGTTTTCAACCTTGTACAAGATTTAAAACTTCAGGTTATGTGGATTTCATTGTAGCATGAACTATATTTTCGACAAAATATATATGTACAAATACAATAGCTTAACTTAAATTAGAATGGTTAAATACCATTTTTTACCCCGTTTTAGCTCAAGTTTAGAAAATTGAAAAAGTAGAAGGTTCATTTTTAAAATTATAAAGCACTTTAATTAAAATAAATGGATAAAGTATTGTTAATTCATTCAGTCTTAGTTTTCTTAAACTCAGGTATAATTCAGTTTTTTTTTTTTACTTTTACTTAAAATTAAAATGACTATATACAGGGCTTGGATTGTTCAGCAAAAACTAGCAATACATACTATATACACATTTGTATGTGATTTTCGGTGACAAAATGGATGTATACGAAAATGGCATTTTCGAGCCCTGGTATGAAGTTGTCTTTAGGTTTCTAGACTACTATTTCTATTGCTTTGATATACAGTGCGTTTTAGAAGTCGTCCTTTTGCATGCTGGAAAAAGGTAATGAAGGTTCGTGCGAGTTCGTCGTCTGTGGATTGGGGAAATTTCACGGAAAGTACATCTGGAAGATAGAACTAACAAATAAATAAATTTGCATGCATGTTATTGAAACAGTATACTTTTTAAAGCTGCTGTAATGCTTAAACTTCTTGCTGCCACTTTGGTGTTTGTCCCTTTCCAGCATAAATTTTGTGCTGCGTTATCCGTAACAATTTTACGCCAAGCCATTTTAATAAATTTTTCACGCTCGTACAAATTATATGCGAAAGTTCTTCAGACTAAAAATAAATTTTTGCAATCACTTAATATAATAGTTCATTCATATTGATTGAACAAAATAATTACCAGACTTTCGTATTTGGAAGAATGGTCCTTAATTTCCTTTTCAAATTTTTTAAAATCCTCAATGTTGCCAAAGGGTGTTTTGGGGTAATCTCATTCCATGAAGTTTTGTGGCTGTATTTCCTTTGTTTTCTTTCTTGCAAAATTCGTGTAAGGCTTCGCTTTATTGATTTTTGGTTGTGATCTATTTCTGTAAAGTGTATATATGTATATATATATATATATATATATTAGGCCGGGTCGATTTGTGGGGAGGCAAAAAAATCGCCCATTGCTCTGTGAAAATCATATTCTAGGGATCAAAATAAGAAACTTTGCCGAAGGAACCATACCTCTAAAACGAATTCTGATGTCCCCCAATTTGGGTCGAACTTTTGGGTAGGGGCAAATTTTGAAAAATCCCACTTTGACCCATTTAGAGTGCTCCAATCGAGTCCAAATGTATGACCGACCCCCACTAACTTTGGAGGCCCGACCCACCGATGCCAGTGGCACACCCCCTGGAACCCCCCTGGGGGTTCACCATACAAAACATTTCAAAAAATCGCCGGTTTTGCACTTTACATGAAAAAATCAGCGAAATGCCTATGTTTTTTCTTTTTGGAGTTTATTTTTCTCTTTAGAAATTTATTTAGTCAGAACATATGTAAATGAAAAAATGAATTTAACTTAGTAATAGAAAAGAAATTAAAAAAAATTATTAGAAGTTAGCGTTTTTTACAACCCTTTTAAAACCAAGGCATCACTGTGATGCATTTGCATGTCGTAAACATAGTTGTGTGGGTTTTTTATTCAACCGTTTTAAAAAATGAAGGTATCACTGTGACACAATTGCAAATCGGAAAATTGCTTGTGTGCGTTTTTTAAGACACAGCTGCATGTCGTAAACTTACTTGTGTAGTTTTTTTATAGCACCTACTTAAGAAATGAAGATTGTTTTTACAACCCTTTTTGTGGGTATTTTAAGGCACCTTCTTAAGAAATGCGCGTTTTTTGCAACCATTTTAACAATTAAGGTATCACTGGAATGCACCGCAACCCTTTTAAACAATGAAGGTATCACTTTGACACAATTGCAGATCGTAAAATTGCTTGTGTTGTTTTTTTTAAGCCACCACAAGACACAGCAGGTAGAATTGAAATTACCATTTCATTATTACCTCGTCTCGTAGACCATATATAACGCAACAGTTTTTGTGAATGCATTAAGTCGTTGTGAAGAACTCAAATTGTGAAGTGCTAATTTCAGATAAAAAAATATTTCAAAAAAAAATAATAAGTGAAGTGACCATTCCAAATCAAAAAGTTTACAATGAATCCACCATCCTCTACACCGCAAGATGAAGCACCTACATCAACAACTATCGAAAACCCAATGAGTCATATACCCAAGCATGATGTTACTGTTTTTGGTGTGTCTACTGATTTAACTGATCTTAATTTACCAACCCATCTGGATATCTTGAGATATTATTTTTACTTAAGCGAACGTGCTAAAACAGAACAAAAAAAGTTTTCCCATAAATCATTCACTATTCAAGTACAAGATAAGTTGATTGGAATTTGGGAAAAACTTGGTATGGAAATAATGCTGAAATAAGTGTATTTAATAAATTGAATAAATTGCTTGACAAGTATCAAGAGCAAATCAAGAGAAGAAACAACACCCAACAATTTACAGAGTATGTAAAATATCTGGAAAGAATTTTTTACATTGGAACATGTAAATGCGATTTGAAGGCAGCTCCATGTGCATGCGGCTGGGTTCCCGAACGCCTCAAAGAGTTCATGCACGATCAACATAATCAGAGAAGACTAACAATGGATGCATTTGTGATGGAAACTGAAGAGCAAGGAGCAACGTCTATGTCATCAATGCCAACATACCAAGATCCCGATGATTCAACATACGCACCGCCACCGGTTCAAGAAGATATGGATAGAAGCACAAGTTCACAATACACAGAGAGATACGATTGTTTTAACTTTGCCTTGGTATGTAACAGGTTTGGTGTGCCTGACAGAGTAGCATCAGCATTGGGAACCGCTCTTTTGCAAGATTTTAAAATTAAAGATAAGCATGGGAGACCTCTCATCAAGGATAAATCGAAAGTTCGCAGAGAAAAAGAGAAATGCAGACAAGAAGTGCTTCGCAAACGGTTAGATGATACCAATTTGTTAGCGTTTTCATTCGATGGCAGAAAAGATGATACTTTAACGATATATAAAATTGATGAGAAGTATCATACTAGGATGGTAAAAGAACCTCATCTTGTTATTTTGAGAGAACCCAATTCTGAATTAATTGGTTACGTAAGACTGGAACAATAAACCGCTGAATACAAAAAAACCAAATGAAATGGTTTTTTCAACGATAAAAATATATCACTGGATGCATTAATTGGAATATGCACTGACGGTGAGCCAACAAACACTGACCCACACGGTGGAATTATACGACGATTCGAATTGCTGTTAAAAAGACCAATGCATTAGTTCGTTTGCCTTCTACACTTCAACGAACTTCCGTTTCGGCATTTGTTTGAAGCTTTGGATAAATCAACCAGCACTGGACCAAGATCGGCAACCGGAAAACTGAGCCGTCAAATCGAAACTTGTGAAACTCTTCCGGTAAGTTATTGCTATCACTCATTTATTATAATTGTAAATCATTTTTAATTATTTTATTATTATATATTTTCAGGTGGTGGACGGCTTCCAGAAAATTGAGTTGCAAAATATGCCCCCTGAATACTTCCAATGGTTGCCTTTCGCACTCACCTTGCACACACACAGTTTCTTTCCGCTCTAAGGAAACACGTTGGTTTTCAATTTTTATGTATTTTGCTTAATAGTTTGCTCATATATTCAAAGTATATTTTGGATGACACAGTTAAAAAAGATGTTTTAAAATTGCTGATATTAAGGGGGCGCGTGCGCGTTGTCCGACTTGAGTAGCTGAACTGCTTTGTGCGGATTTTCGCACGACGATTGGGAGGCGGCCGTGCGCGCTCGGTAATTATTTTCGGAGTCGCGTCGACTCCACTGCCGCCAAAGTGCGCGCGCACGGCCGCTGAACTCGGCTTAAGCGGCGGCTTAGACATCATCCCCGCCCTGCAGGAATGCGTTGCTGAGCGTCTCCTGCAGCTCTTTCAGGGCGCGGATCGTGTTGCCCAGGACGCGGTGGGTGGTGCGGCCCTGGAAATTGGCCGTTTGTAGGCCTTGGGGCGTGCGCGCGATCGTCCGTTGGGCGGTCTTCTTGCGCGGCGGTTGCGGCGCATGGTTCCGCGGGTTCTTCTGCGCCTTCTTCAGCGCCTTTTTCTTCGGCGGTGCGCGCCGCTTGACGCTCCTTGGGGCCTTTGTGGCCGGTTTCCTCTTCTTGGGCCCCTGTTCCCTTGGCCCCGTGCGCGCATGCGTGTTGGCTGCCACATGCAGCAGCGTGTGGTGCGCTAGCCCGCAGGTCTTGCAACTACCCGGCGAGTCGCATTCCCCGGTAGTGTGGGTGAGCGCAAGGCAGTTGACGCAGTAGCCTTGCGCGCGGGCTATTCCCAACCGTTGCGGCGGCTTCATCGCCTTGAAGGCCGGGCACGTCCGCAATGCGTGGTAACGGTGGCAGAGCCGGCATTGTAGGCAGTTGTCTGTCTCTGCCGTTGGAGCCAGGGGGCATGCCTTCCGTGCTGCCATGATGTCTTCGATCTGTAAGTAGAAGCAAAGGCAGAGAAACGAGAAGTACTTGGGTACAATATTTAAACGGGAAGTTAAGACCCTTAATATACAAAAGGAAAGGATGTATAGAATTATTTATTGTGCTTTTGGAAGGAAGCACAGTTTGACAAGTGGCCGCGTGATAACTCCATTTTGTGTACGGACTTCCACAACACGTATGTGGTTATCAGGGCCATGGCGAACGTTTTCGATTCGTCCCAATCGCCACTCGGTGGGGGGGAGTGAATCTTCTTTGATCACGACGATGTCGCCTGGCTGAGGGTCGCGTTGTGGAGTTTTCCACTTGTACCTCTTCTGAAGATCTTTGAGGTAATCTTCTTTCCAGCGGCGACTAAATTGGTGGTGAAGTGCTTTGACTTTCTCCCATCGGTTTAGTAGAGAGAGGTCTTCCGCATTAGGCTCGGGAATGGCCAATAGCGGTGCACCTCGAAGGAAGTGACCCGGAGTAAGTGCTGTCATATCAGCTGGGTCTTGAGAAAGTGCGGATAGAGGCCTCGAGTTGAGGACTGCTTCAATTCGCACCAGAAGCGTCGTGAATTCTTCGAAAGTGAACTTGTGGGTTGCAGCGGTTTTCTTTAAATGGATTTTAAAGCTTTTCACTGCAGATTCCCACAAGCCGCCCATGTGGGGGGCGCTGGGTGGTATATATTGCCAGTTGATGCCTTGAGGGGCATATTTTTTGACAATGTCTGCGGAACATTCGTTAAGGAATTTAACGAAGTCGCGTTCTGTTGCGCGCTGGGCGCCAATGAACGTTTTTCCATTGTCGCTCATCATTTTTGAGGGAAAACCTCGTCTGCCAACGAAGCGGGCGAATGCTGCTCGAAAAGCTTCGGTTGTAAGATCCGAGCATAGCTCGAGATGCACTGCCTTTGTGGAAAAACAGACAAAAACTGCAACGTATCCCTTGATAAGGGTTGTAGATCTTAACACCGATGCTTTAATGTGGAATGGCCCAGCAAAATCTACTCCCGTTGTGGAAAATGGGAGTGAGAAACTGCAGCGCTCAGGGGGTAGAGCGGCCATTATTTGGGTGCGTGTTTGTTGCTTGTACAGCGTGCACACTTTGCATTGAAAGATGCATTTTTTAATTAGAGGTTTCAGCTTTGGTACGTAGTACTCTTGCCTTACCATTTGGAGCATTAATCGTGTTTCTGCGTGAAGAAGCAGCGAGTGTAAAAACTCCAAATATAGCTGGCAGAACCTCGATTCGGTAGGGAGAATTATTGGGTGCCTTTCATTATAGCTTAATGTGGAATGTGCTAATCGGCCATTAACCCGTAGAAGTCCGTCTTTGTCCAACGAAGGATTGAGAACAATAAGAGGACTTTTTTTGTTAAGTGGCTTTTTATCTTGCAAAGCGCTTTTTTCGCGCGGAAAATGGCGTGATTGCGCTGCGTTGATAAGATGAACTTTTGCATATTGAAATTCGTTATGTGTCAGATGTGGATAGGTGATTGTGGCTACCCCCTTTGATTTGTTGCGGGCATTGCTCACGAAGCGGAACATGTACGCAGTCACGCGGAGTGCTCGAGAGAAAGAAGAAAAGCGATCAAGAAAATCGACCTCTTCTTCGAGCGCGTGATATGCCTCCACCTTGCGCTTTTCTGGTGGAGATGCACTGCATGCCTTTGACCTTGGCCATGCATCCATGTGGCAAGAGAGCCATGTTGGTCCGTACCACCAGAGTGGGGAATTCGCCAAATCCTGCGGTTTGCACCCACGGGTGCCGAGGTCGGCTGGCTTATCTTGGCTGGAAACATGGCGCCATGCACCGGTTGGAAGATATTCCCGGATTTGAGAGGTACGATTGGATACATACGTCTTCCATGTACATGGTGGCTTTTCAAGCCAAGCTAGCACAATCTCTGAATCTGACCATAAGAATATGTTGCACGATTCCAATTTGAGCTGTTTTCGAACAGTTGCGACCAGTTTTGCGAGTAAGACTGCACCACACAGCTCCAGGCGTGGCAAGCTTACCGTCTTCAATGGTGCGACTTTGCTTTTTGCAACCAAGAGAGTGGAATATCTTTGGTTGCTAGCATCTGCCCGGATGTAAATCGCAGCGCAATATGCTTTTTCCGAGGCATCACAAAACCCGTGGATTTGGGTATTTTGCCCCGGAGTGAAATTAACCCATCGAGGGATTTCGATGTGGCAGATGGCTGGCAGATTTTCTGCGAACTGTTGCCATTTTGCCAAGGATATAGGTTTGGCACATTCGTCCCAATCAACGCCATCTAGCCAAAGTTCTTGAAGAAGAATCTTAGCTTGAATCATCACTGGCGATAGCCATCCTGCCGGGTCAAAAAGTTTTGCGACAGAAGATAAAATTTGTCGCTTTGTGACGGCATTCGATGTCGATGCAGGCAGAATGGTGTATGAAAATTTATCTGTGAGTGCGTTCCATTGTATACCAAGAGTTTTGGTTGTGGAAGCGCTCTCAAATTCCAAAAAGTTGGAGTCGAGAAGATCCCCTTTTGGAAATTTTTCTAAGATGGCCGGATGATTGGCCGTTAGTTTCTTGAGTATGAAACCAGCTGACTTAAGCGCTTTGATCACTTGAAGAAGTGATTCAGTGGCGTTGTCAATATCATGACTTCCGGATAGGATGTCATCCACATACGTTTCGGTTTTAAGTATTGCGGCAGCCAAGGGAAATGTCGCTATCGTATCATCTGCTAATTGATGCAGGGTACGGATAGCGAGGTATGGTGCACAATTAACCCCGAACGTTACGGTTTTAAGATTATAATCGGTGACAGGAGAGTCAGCCGATGTGCGAAATAAGATTCGCTGAAAATCTTTATCGTCCTCATGGATGAGTATTTGACGATACATTTTTTCAATGTCGCCATTGAACACGAATCTGTGCATTCGCCACTGCAGAATGAGCAGCATGAGATCTGGCTGGAGTGTGGGACCAGTGTGCAACACGTCATTCAGGGATTTTCCTGAACCAGATGTTTTTGAGGCGTTGAATACCACGCGAACTTTGGTGGTTACCTTATCTGGTTTGACGACCGCATGGTGTGGCAAGTAGAATGAGAAGTATTTGCCATTAGCTACTATCTCACATGGCTTCGTGTGCTCCATATGACCGAGGTCGAGATATTCTTGCAACACATTGTTATACATTGTGCCTAAGTCTCCTTTTTTTCTGAAGCGATCGCTCCATGCTAAAAAACTGCTGCAGTGCAGCAGACCGAGAGTGGCCCAGATACAGCTTTTTTGGAAATTCTTCCTTGAATGGAAGTCGCACAATGTATCGACCGTTTGGGGCACGAGTCGTTGTTGTTGCATATATATGCTCACAAGCCTGATCTTCCGGGGAAATTTGTGGAGGCTGTGGAATCTCCTCCTCTTCCCAAAACTTTCGAAGCTGAGAGCTGAGAGTTGCATTCGAGCACTCTTCTACTTGTGTCGAGAATGACACCACATTTTCGGTTACTGGACCACTGAGAATCCAGCCAAATATTGTTTTTTGCGCAAGTATTGTGTCGCAAATATTTTGTATACCTTCCAGCAGGATTTGTGGAAGTATATCGCTGCCGATTACCATGTCAGTTTGAGCTGGTATGTGACAGCTTGGGTCAGCAAGTTCAAGGATCTTGAATTGCTGCCAGTTTTCACGGCTAATGGTGAATGTAGGCATGTGCCTCGTGAGCTGAGGTAGCACGATAGCCTGTGTGTTTATCCGTTGCATGGTTTTTGGTGCTACCAATGTGAGTGGACAAAGCTTTGAGGAGCTTTGTACTACATGTCCACCCATGCCGGAAATTTCGAACTTGGAATGTTCGAATGGTAGTTTCAACCGTTTTTGAACTTTCGAGGAAATGAAAGTTCTTTGTGAGCCTTGATCAATCAGGGCTCTAAGTTGAAACAATTCACCCTCGTGTTCAACTGCGACTATGGCAGTTGGAAGGAGAATTTTGCTATCATTGTCGGTGTGCAATGATTGTATTTGTGCTTGTTTGGAACAGCACGGTTGCTCGCTGGAATCGGAGCTTGACTGCGCTTGTCGAGCGGGAGGTGTCGACTGGGCAGTAGTGTGTTGTGCGGCGGTTTCATTCGCTCGCGCACTGGAGTGTCGAGATTGTGGTTTGGGGTTCATGTGCAGCAGGGAGTGATGCCGTTGTTGGCAATGTGTACATGACCACTTGCTCGGACACTCATTAGTGCTATGGGTATTACCAAGGCAGTTTTTGCACAGCTTGGTTTGGTTTGCGAATTGTACTCGGTTCGGTACCGAAATTCGCTTAAATTGTGGGCAGACTCTAATGGGATGAGGGGACTTGCAGTAAGAGCAAGTTGGTTCCCTCTTAGGTTCTGCCACAAAGGTTTGAGTCCTGTTAAAGGACCTGTTTTGCGCAGCATTTTGATGAGCGACTGGTTTTTGTTTATTTTGGCTTGGATGAAGCCGGTTAAGTCTTTCGACTACTTCGTATCTTGAAGTAAGAAAATCGTCCATTTGTGACCATGAGGGTAAATCTCTTCGAGAAGAGAGAGATTGTTCCCAAAGTGACAGTGTGGTTTCGGGCAATTTGGATGAGCAAATGTACACCAATATGGGATCCCAACTGTCTGTCTGGACGTCTTGGGAATTAAGAACTGACAGACAGTTGTTAATTGATGTTTGCAGCCTTTGAAGTTGCTCGCTATTCTCGGATTGAATAGTCGGCAAAGTCATCAAAATTTTAATTTGGTTGTCAACCAAGATACGTTTGTTTTCGTATCGTGACCGTAAAGCTTCCCAGGCCAGCTCGAAGTTATCATCGCTGAGCGGGTATTGCTTGACGATGGAACCGGCTTTTCCTTGAGTTTTGTACCGAAGGTGATACAGTTTTTGAGCACGGGAGAGCTTCGGGTGGTTGATGTACACCGCTGTGAACATGTCACGAAAAGCGGGCCATTCTTCGTAACCACCGTAAAATGTCTCCGTGTCACAAGGTGGGACTTGAAGAAAAACGTTTGCCTCTGCCGAGGTGTGTTCCACGCGGGGTGGTGGACTCGGTGCGGCGATTGCTTTAATCAACGACAGTTGATCGGCAATTTTAGCTTTGGTCACCTCATATAATTCAAGGCAAGTGAAGTACTTGCCTTCTACCGAACTCTTAAAGTTTTCGGGTAGGCTGTCATCTGGCTTTGAAAAAACCAAATCATAGGCGGACTGAAGCCGTGCCCAACAATCATCTAGTGATTTGTCTTTTATCATAAGATATGATTCAGTGTGGTCTTGGATCGGTGCATCACTGAATCTTGCACAGTATCTCATGATACTGTCACTTTCCGCTATAAACTTTTGAGCGGATGGGTCAAAAGTTTTAGGTTTCGGGCGCGGTGAGGGTTCCCTCTTACCACCGGTGGCTTCTTGCGAAGCAGTTTTTGACCTTGTCTCGATTTCAGACATTTTTGGTGGACTGTGTCCAAGTGGCATTTTTAATGCTGTGGAAGGTCACACGTATAAAAATTGAGAGAAAAATTTATCAAATTTTACTGAGTACCACCCAGATAACGTTCGCAAAAATTAGAAAAATATATGTCAAACGCGTAAAAATTGCACTTTGTGCCACAGAAAATCAGGAAAAGAATTTTAAGATTTTGTGGCGGTGTTTGTGTTTTTTGTTTCTTGCAAATTACGTGAAATTATATTTGCTTTAATTTTTGGTTCAGCACTTTTTATTACGTGGAAAACGGAGCGTCCCAATTAAATCCGCGGAATTTGGATTTGAAAAATTTCAGTACGAGAAAAAAAAATCACAAACACTTTTCACTTTTATATACGTGGTGAAATATACGTATGTATAAATATTTAATGTGATATAACTAATTATGTAAATACTGAAAAAGTAATGGTTATTTATCACTATCTAGACCAATGCAATTCGGGAGCTTTCCCTACTGGGTTGCATGTATCTGATATCTTGAACTCACTTCTTATCGCGTTATGGATAATATTCGTGTGACAATATTCTTTGTTAGCACGTATGTACAAAAGTGCAGAATATGTAGAATGTAAAAATGTACGTACGTATGTATGTACAAATATTTACGTATGAAGCCGAGTATATGGCTAAGCTATGCTTTGTCACAGCAGTGGTGAGTTAAGAAACGAAAACAACAGAGAATTTGTTTTGATTATAGTGCGTACGTATGTATGTGTGCGGGAATGCACAAGTGGATATAATAATACGTAAAGAGCCGCTCACCGCTGAGAGAGCGGGCTTTGATTTACGTTCTCTTAGCTTGGTGAGTGCAGCAGAGAAAAGCAAGATTGAAATAAATTAAAATAAGCTAGAGTGCGCTTGGTACGTGTGGACTGTATTGTTCGATAAATAGCAGCGACTCTCTTAGCTATTATACGAATAGTTGCAGAAAATGCAACTGGTAAAAATGTTTCTATGTGCTAACGTATGTACATATGATATATGGGAAATAGTGCACTTATGTTTTTCGGCAATTTGTTTAGCCAAGTTCAACGAACTATGCGACCAACGGCAAAAATTGGTAAGCAGAGGAAAGTATGTGATTTTAATGTGCTAATATTTTGTTCTTGCACAGTGGGACACAGTAGGCATATAAACTGCAACGGAATTTATTTTGGGGTATATATCAGAATTTGTATATATGTACATATATATATATAAGATTGGCGGTAAGTGGAGATATACCGCTTTCCGGAAAACGGAATGTTTCTACCAAAATTCAATAGCGGCAAATTGCCGATGTGAGATTTTTGGGCGGCAAGAAAATATCCGCAATTTTAGTGAAACCGTTTTTGGCGAGAATAAATACGCCTTTTATGAAATTATATATATATATATGTATGTATATACGTATGTATGCCCGTTGGCAGTTTATTAGAAATAATATAACTTTTAAGAATATGAAAGTTATATTTATTTCAATTTTTTAAGGAAATTAAAAATTTGCCGACTTACTACTTTCCTTGATTTATGTAGCGATGAATGTGTTTAAGTCCTTTTTGCGCCGGGGTCTTCTTGTGCTGGTGTTGTTGTTACCGCTTATGTTGATGCTGGTGATGTCGCTCCAATGTTGGCTGATGGTTTGGTTGGTTGATGGCTGCTGATTGCGCTTTGCTTCTTCTTTTAGTTGTTGTTGCGTATATAAATTTTTGAAATTTTGCGCAACAAAATTACGTTTTTTTCAAATTGTTTGCACTTTTGTGAATATGTTCACTTGTGTGTAGCACTTCGAACGCTTGTTTGCGCACTTCTTTTTCCAAAAAATGTATATGTTTTGTTAATTTAACAATTTTTATTTTTCACGTTTCTTGTGTTTTTTTTTTTTTGCGTATATGTATATGTATGTATATACGTGCACTTTTGTTTGTATCTTTTTTCCACTCTTAAAATTGCTTTTATATGTTTGTTTTTTTTGCGGACGTACGAGAACCGATTTTTTTTTGTAGGTTTTATTAATTTATTTTTAAGTTCTAAAATTTTTCTCTTTTTTTTTTTCTTTAGGAGCTGGGCCACGGTTGGCTGCGAAGGACCATGAATACTTCCAATGGTTGCCTTTCGCACTCACCTTGCACACACACAGTTTCTTTCCGCTCTAAGGAAACACGTTGGTTTTCAATTTTTATGTATTTTGCTTAATAGTTTGCTCATATATTCAAAGTATATTTTGGATGACACAGTTAAAAAAGATGTTTTAAAATTGCTGATATTAAGGGGGGCGCGTGCGCGTTGTCCGACTTGAGTAGCTGAACTGCTTTGTGCGGATTTTCGCACGACGATTGGGAGGCGGCCGTGCGCGCTCGGTAATTATTTTCGGAGTCGCGTCGACTCCACTGCCGCCAAAGTGCGCGCGTACGGCCGCTGAACTCGGCTTAAGCGGCGGCTTAGACACCCCCTGCTCCAGAAAAAATTGAATTTTCCACCGATTCGAAGTACTTATACGACATGGCCCATGCAATTTCTAGCGGCGTGGTTCCGGTGGATTTGGCTAACATCAAACCAGGGAAAATTGTACATTCTCGGTGGCTCACCAAGGCCGCTAGATTATTGCGATTATATATGACAACGGAAAATCCAGATGCAAATTTAAGAATTCTGGTTGAATTTATAATTAAATGTTATGTGCCAATGTACTTCAATATCAAGTATTACAGCTCTGTCGTGTACGGCAGTGCATTATTTTTCAAGTTCATTGGTTGGTCACGATTTCTAGAACCTCGTTTACGCAAAATTGTCAATCAAGTAATTAAAGATAATTCATATTATGCGCATTCGGAAAATATCTTGTTATCAATGTTGTTTGATGATAGCAAAGAAAAGCGCGACTGTGCCATCAAGAAAATTCTACGCTATCGAACCGATGTTGACGAGCCAATGGAACTTAGAGTTTATAAAAAACCAGATATAAACTTTAATTGCACAAGTTATACGGAAATGATCAATTTGAATGATACAAATATCGTATTTGAACCACCATTCACGCGAAGCATTCCGTACGATACATTGAAAGAATATTTAAATCAAGATGATCCACCGTTTAATGATCCAAAAATTCCATCACACATACAAGGAACGGAACGACATGTTCAATTGCTAGCTAGCGTTTCCAAACGGGTTATACCGGAAAATGTAGAGGCTGTTATGGCGACGACATTAGAGAGCCGTGCGAAATTGCCCAGACTTGAAAGTAAAAAAGACTTCAAACAATAATTTTTTTTAGTTTCTTTTCTATAACTCACTTAAATTAATTTTTTCATTTACATATGTTCTGACTAAATAAATTTCTTAAGAGAAAAAATAGATATTATTATAAATAAATAATAAATATTATTATAAATAAATAAATAAAAATAAAGAAAAAGCATAGCCATTTAGCTGATTTTTTCATGTAAAAGCCAAAAATGGTGATTTTTTGAAATGATTGTTTGGGGAACCCCCCAGGGGAGTTCCAGGGGGTGTGCCACTGGCATGGGTGGATCGGCCGTCCAAAGTTAGTGGGGGTCGGTCATACATTTGGACTGGATTGGAGCACTTTAAATGGGTCAAAGTGGGATTTTTCAAAATTTGCCCCTACCCAAAAGTTCGACCCAAATTGGGGGACATCAGAATTCGTTTTAGAGGTATGGTTCCTTCGGCAAAGTTTCTTATTTTGATCCCTAGAATACGATTTTCACAGAGCAATGAGCGATTTTTAAATCGACCCGCCCTAATATATATATATATATGTGTTTAATTTTTTAAATACATACATACATACATATCGCGCATTTAATTCAATAGTGCCATAATCTAAAAATTTGTTCAATGTTGTGTAAAAATTTCATAGCTATATCGATTACCACTATCTTACTCGAATAAAATATATATTCACTTTTACTATATGTACGGTGACCATCCGTCCTTTATTTTAAAGGACTGTCCTTTATTTTAACCCCCTGTCCTTTATAATTTTTTTCAAAATAAAGGACGCCTTTTGTCATTTATTTCTTAAACTGTCCTTTAAATCGGCTCTGCATTTTTCAGAGGTATTTTTTTAACGGAGAATATAAAAAATAAAAATGTTCCTTATAAAATATAATGAAAACCATCCCCAGTTGATTTCGCACCTCACTTAAGGGTTTCTATTTAATCGGTTATTTTTGTACAATCTATAAAGCCCAGGGAAAGTTGTGCCCAGGATGGTGTTCCACGCTGAGTTTCCAGTTCCACTGAACTAGAACATTAAACCCCTGCTGCTTAGTGGTTCAAAACTGGCATTTAGTGTTCGTAATTCACTGGAGCCTTCATTTTTCATTTCATTTGATTAATTTTATATTTTTTTTATGAAAGCTTACAGTATTTCCAAGAGACCAGTTAAGCCTGATTTCTGAATTTTTATTTGGTTATATTATTTTTTTTGTGCAAAATGCAGAAAAAGTAAAAATTTTGAAGAAAATGTACTCTCCTGTTCCAGTTAATAAATGTTACATAACACAAACTAGTTGAAAACAATTATACGGTTCTTCCAAAACAAAAAAAAAAATACAAAAACAAAAAATTTTGAAATGTTATAAAAAATGTTCACCAAACTAAATAGTTTTTTGTTTGCTTTTTAGTAAAAATTGGTTGAAAAATTAAGGTTTCGGTGGATTATGAACATTAAATTCCAAATATTGAACCACTGTGTGCTGGCTTCGTCGTACAGTATGAATTATCGTAAACGCATTTTGGTAGCAAGGGAAGGCGAAGTCCTTGAAAAGGATTTGGCTTCATTTTTTCGCTACAGCAGGGGAACTTGTACAATTAAATAATTTAATTGACTGTAAATATTTGATTTAAATTAAGATATGTGTAAGGTACTTTTGTCATACGAGTTGTATGTACGTATTCCAAAATCATTTTGAAAAAAATGTCCTTTATTTTACGTCGGTTAATATGGTCACCGTAACTATATGTAATATGTACATTAGCGTGGGCCGAAAATCCGCTTTTTTAGAATTTTGGTTGGTAATAGCAAAAATATGGTTCATAATGCTCTAAAAACAATTTGTGTGAAAGAGGACAATTTTTGGTCAATATCTTAGGCTCGCCCAAGTCCATCAAAGTTCAAGTGCTAACATTTTTTTTTAGTTTATTTACTTCGATTCTTTACAAAAAAGGTTCATATACCAAAGTATGTAGGACTAATACTTTCGAGGATACTTGCAATCTTAGTAAAAAAAATTTATTAATTAATGTATTTATTAATTTTTATTTTTTTAAGCCATTGAACTTTGATGGACTTGGGCGAGTCTAAGATATTGACCAAAAATTTTCATTTTTCACACAGATTGTTTTTAGAGCATTATGAACCATATTTTTGCTATTACCAATCGAAATTCTAAAAAAGCGGATTTTCGGCCCACGCTAATGTACATACATATATGTAAATTCAAAATTTTAAAGCTATTTATCTCGAGTGCTGCTTTTTTGAGTTGTGACATTATTGAAGTAAATGAGCGATATGTATAATTAGTTTACCTTTAAAAATTTTTTTCTCGGATTTCCTTATCTGCTCTAATACTTTTTCTTCCAAACTTTGAAGATCTGAAAAAAAACATAATAAAAAGTAGTTTATGTTTGTAAAATTAATTAATTTAAAATAGTGTTAACCTTTTCTTGTTATTGGTGTGTCGTTCGTCGCACTGCTAAAACTGATATTAAAGTCCATGTCTGTCGCTTTAACGTTTATTAGGAATGGATAAGAGGAATAAAGAAATTTACGCATTCATTATTAAATTATATAATTTTTGATATCTGTTGTAATGAATGTTGAACGCTAGTGGTAGAAAACTCCAATTCCATGCAACATTTGGTATTCAGGTTCCCTGACCGTATAGGAGTTTCAAAAAAGTCATGTAAATTAAGAACTTCTTTCCCTGATATTTTTACCTCAGTATTATCATGTATAGCCACCAATTTATATATACTATTATTGAAGCTATAGAAATTTGTCAGGCTCTTTAGTGGAAAAGAATAAGTTTGGGGTTGTCACAGAAGTAAATTCCTTTCCTTTTTTTAAGACGCATGACGAGGTTACAGTACTTTGTGAGGCTAAGCTGTCTTTAATCGAACAATTAATATTAATCGGTTATTTTCCTTCACTTGTCGGTTTAATTGTATCGTGAAAGCCCTTTTGATTAATTGCAATATTAATCGATTATTTCCAAAATAATCGAAAGATGTACGCCACTAGAAAACAAAACCATTTCACATCAGCAGCGCTTTTTAAATTTTTTTTTCAAAAAATTATATTGTCCAAGGTTTTATTCAAGCGAAAAAAAGGAAAATGCCTCCAATACGAAGTGATGTTTGGAAGCATTTTTCAAAGGAGAGTTCTACAGATGTAAGGTGTAAGTTGTGCTGCAAAACTTTAAAGTGCTCCAACAACACAACAAATATGATGCAGCACTTAAAGTTGAAACATTCAAAGGAGGCTGAAGCCCTAAAAGTACATAAGTTAAAAATTCCACCATCAATTAATCGCAACTTTAATGTACAATGTGTACTACAGAGAAACAATGAAGCATTGCATGAAGCAAGTTGTGTCACAGAGGATAGCAATGAATTGCCAAGCACGAGCCAAAACCCTACACCAAGAAGCAATCAGCCAAATATAAACACTAGGGGTATTCTCGAAGTCTTGCACGATGCACGGATTGCACGAAATGCAAAAATACTATTCCTAATTTCGAACAGTACGAGAGCACCCCATTGCAAAGTGGTAGAATGCATGGGTAGCAAGCAGCGAAATTATGTATCAAATACAATAACAAGAGACAGCAGAAAAAAATGAAGTGAGCGAGATGAGAGGAATGAGAGAAATATGTAGCAATTCCAACAACAAAACAACTATCACAGGGTCGCATATATCTTGCTATGCTATTTTGCAAAATATATACATGGGTTTCGACATTGCATATTTTGCAGCGATAGGAAATGTCGGTTCCCATGTATTTTGTTGTTGTGTGTTTGTAAGTTATGCAATCCATGCAATCCGTGCTACGTGCAATGGCTTTGCAAGATTTGGAGAATACCCCTACTGTGTTTTCAAATGTAGAGAGTTTTGCATCAGGTGGTTCGGAGCATCAGAAATTGACGCAATCAGTAGTGGAAATGATTGTAATGGACAATTTGAAATACCCGACGCAAGTATTAGATATGTATATGATTTCCACCTTTCCGAAAGCTAC